TAGAGTATTTGGCTGCTGCTTTACATTTCCACGTAATAAGCCACTTCGTTGAGCTATAATTATGTGGCCAGGTCACTTCTGACAAAAGAGCTTCATAGCTCAGTGGGTCTGACCTGATAAATAATACAACGTTGATGAAGGAGGAGAGCACAGAACTGCAGTGCAACAGAGCGGGATACGCGGGTACAAGACTGAGGAACTCATGGAAGAGAGGCAGGAGTATGTGCATGACTCTTTCAAGGGAGCGGATCGTGGTGGTGTCATTCCTCTGGCCTTGCACTGCCCTTGTCATATAAATCACTCAGTGTTTGTTATAGCTTTTAATAAACTTTGTAAATAGTGCCTTGAGCGAAGGCGCTCTATAAAATAAGATCCCAGCTATGACCACATTCCACACCTGTATCACACGAATTTACTATCCCCATGTTAACAACTATTAGTAACTATATATGACCACTAACCCATTCACAAAAAAGTTACGTAGTTATCATTTGTAATTGGTTATGGGCAGTCCTCGGTTTATGATCCTAGTACGTTACTGAGACCCGTTCGCATTTTAAGTAAATATTATGTTTTTATATTTCATAGACTCGGGCGTTTATAAGTCGGAAGTTCGTAAGTCGAGGACTGCCTGTATACTTTGGGTTACATGGTGTGGGTATGAAGATACAATCTCCACCATCTGTCAGAGCAAATCAAATCAAGTGGTCACGTGGGAACCATTTCCAATTGCTTTGGTTTTTTAGCAACCCGTCTGTAAGTCGTTGGTGTGAGGCATTCAGCTGGCTACACCGGGAGAGCCCTGTCAGTCACAGGCTGGTGGCTAGGAGATGTTAACTACCTCGCCTGCTATGCAGGAGTCCGTGGGTTCGATCCCGATCCTGATGCTTATTGTATATTTCGTGTTCGCCTTCAAGTATCTCAAACCCACTCCCAGTCCCCTGTTCTTTTCCCTCCAATAAACCTAATTAATGACCTGGCTCCCACGTCTCGCTTTCTATGTGCACCGAAACATCTCTACCCCAGCCCTCCGCTGTGCTTCTCAATCAGCTCAACTATCTCGCCACCAGAACTGTCCCTACCACCCTTCACATACCCTCATCCATCCAAATTTTACCACTTCACGTATGTGCCCCATACCCCACCGCCTCTCATCCACGTTGCACCCATCTGTCACCGTCACTCACCATCACATTCCACCTTATTCCTCCTTCCCTACCACAGCAACATTTGCTAAATTCCCAGCCCATGTCCCTCCATTCCATTCCGTCACCTCCCTCACTGACAGCCGCTCCACCCCACCCATTGCTCTCCTTTTGTCCCTTGTGTACCGCCGTGGGCTTGCATTGTAGGATAGAATGTCTCTCTCCGTGGTCGCGAGGATTTTCTCCAGGTCCTCCGGTTTTTCCCTCCACATTTTGAATCAACGTGCCTTCAGATAATTTGGCTGCTGCTAAAAATGTACACGTGATAATCCAAATCATCGAGCTATTATTTGTGGCCAGGTCGTTTATGGCCATATCTAGTATAATAAACATACTTTCTTTCATTTAATAAACAAAATAGTTGACTTGGAAGACTTCTGCTCACAGTCGTGCATGGCCTCATGTCGTCACTCATAGTTGTTCCTTCCACGAAATTGTATTACCTGGGTAAAATAAAAGTTAGGTTCAGTAGCTGAAACCAGTTTCTCACTGGTGACAGCCCAGCGTTGTTTTCTGAGCAACCCGTCCACCTCCATAAATCTCGACCACTATGCAAAGTGGCATTATTTCAGGTGGGTGATGCATACGCAATTTTTTATGTATTTGGATGTGGTAATGCTAAAGTGGTTGGGGGTATTGATTAGTGCGCTAAACTGTGAACCAAGCGATATGTAAATTTGGCGGTGGGTGGCTCCAGGTAACAATGAAAATTACACCAACGGACGAGTTCAAAACGCCGCTGTAAGTCGTATGGGGCGCTGTTGCGCAATCTGTAGGTGGCAGGCTGTTTAAATCGCCCCGAGGGGTGATTCATTGAAGGTCTGCGCCATTATCTCTATGCAAGCAGTCGAGAAAACATGACTGATAACGGCACAACAGAGGCTCAGTAAACTTTATTAGTGCAAAATTAAACAAAAATAGGCAATAAAGTGTATATATACACTTTGTATATATCTCTCTCTCCCTATCTCTACCCCCTCCCTCCCCCCATTGTCTAACACACTCGCTGTACTCCTACTCCTCGTGCTTTACTCCTACTCCTCGTGCTTTACTCCTACTCCTCGTGCTTTACTCCTACTCCTAGTGCTTTGCTCCTACATTAGCACTGGCTGCCCCGCCCATTATAAGCAGTTGCATTTGGAGGCTTGCCCCCTCTTTTCTCTCTGCCTGATGAAGGCCGCTTGTGTTGCGATCGAAACGTCGTGGTTTTTTGCTTATATTTTTAAATTTGTATTTATTTCATTTTTATTTTCTATCTCCGTGACTTGACCGAAAGAACCAAGAATATGCATATAATCAGTACGTGCCTTGTTAGCCGTGTTAGTACATTGCATGGTAATATACTTAAATATCATTGTGCAAATATGTTCTACGACAAACGAGCCCTATTCTCATTTCCATAAACTAAAACATTATCTGGTAACGTTGTACAAAAGCTATAAATCGCGACGTTGTAAATTAAAAATAACCTATCAGGATTTCTTATTAAGCAGTGGAGTGTAACCTACATTCTACTCGAGGGGGGGGGGGGTGGGGGAGAAGTGCACGTTCAGCCGCTCACTACAAATGTCTTCTGTGCCACGGAAAGAGCCCGACATCCATCAGAGAGACACAGAGAGCTTGGCGTGTGCATAAGCGCTACAAGCGCCCATTGAAGTGTGGACCTCAAAGGCTTGGATCGTTAAGCGTTTGGCTTAATGATCCAAACCTGCAAGGGAATCAACAGAATATTTAGCAGTTACCAGTTACAGTCCACTGCACTATGAGCTCTTATCCATAGGTGACCTAGCCATAGCTCATGACCGCACTGACTGATATCACCACACGTGGACATTTGTAGCAGCAGCCAAATCATCTGAACCAAGGAACGCGGAGAAAAATCCAAGCTCCGACCACCACAGGGAGAGAGAACACGCGGACTCCAAATGTACAACAGCAGGCATCGCCAGGCTCTGGCAATTAAACCCATGACCTCCTGTGTACCGGGCGAGGGAGATGACATATTCTTGGTGGCAATTAGCAGAAAATCATTGCCTTGGCATTAAAATCATGCATTCACTTCTATAATCCAATATTCTGGGGAAACCATCTGCTTTGAATGGATGGCATTGTTGAATGAATGTCCCTTTGCCTGACTGCCTCTTCTATCTTGTTTTATGTATCCATACAGTCTCAATGTAACTCTACATCTCTGTAATAAATAACATTATAAATACCAATAAATATACTTAGGTATATAGATATATATGGCCAAAAAATAAATGTAATAAAACGCATCTTCATAGCCCTGCACAAGTATTTCAAAATAGTATGTGCCATTCATTGTCTTTTGCGCTAAGAACTTGGCGACCCCAGTTTGATTCCCACTCATGGCCACCAACAACAGTAGCGATTAATTAATTATCTGAACCGGTTCTGGGCCTCCCATAGGTCGAATCAGCCTCAAATGAGTACCTGGTGCAGTAAGGTGGTTTGACTTGGTGCTGGCCACCCACCTCCTTGTGTGTCATGACGGCCGTTATAGGTGCTCACTAACAGCCCGTTTAGTCTATTAAAGTTATACGGGGGATCTTGTTAAGTGTTACCTGGAAGGGAAACCTTTCTAAAAACAAGATTGTCCATGTTGGTTGCTAACCATCTAAATTAATCAGGCATACAAATGTGATTGCATTAACTACAATGGTTAACGGACCAGTCTTGGTGTGCGTGATGTTTACATCCCCGATTAGCATGGTTGGCTAAGTGCGATGCAAAATAAGTTCAACACACATACATATAAGAACATGACGTTTCCTTCATCTGACCACTGCTACATAGAATCGCCGTCTCTATCTGATGTCGAACTGGAAACATAATTGTGAGCAAATAAATCATCACATGCATTATGTATCGGATATCAATTTCTATTGGAGAATACCACTTACGCTTTTATACATTGAAAATATAATAATCGTCGCTGGCAATGGTCGCTGATGCCTCCTAAGACATCTCCACCTCACGCGTAAACGAGCCCACATCACGCATCCCTCAACTGGCTCCCCACCCTATCCCAAGTCAAACTCAAGGGCCCACTGATACTCTTCACACTCTTCTAGGGACTTGACCATTATTTACCTCCCTCTCCCCTTCCATCTGCACTCTCTCTGCTCCAGCAGCAAAGTCCTCATGCTGAAGACTCCGGTCAATCTCCGCTCAGTGGGGAGGACTTTTCATTCTCAAAACCTGAATCCCCTTCTTCCAACTGCGCATGCATCTTCACTCCAAGTCTGTGGCCAGGAGCAGCTTCAAAGCCCCTACATTTACTTGAGCACATCATGTTACGAGAGATGTCCACCATTGTTGAACAGTAGCTCTTTTGACTGAATTCCATTGTAATGAAAGGCTGCTATGCTGCAATTAACACGGCAATACACTTGCGGTGCCGCTGAAATTGAAGCGACACTGAAAGGTCCCATGTTGCTGCAAGCTTCTTAAATCCCACCACCTCTGTCCACTCAGCCACATAAATGGACACAGCACAGTTGGTCGATCGGCAGGTCGCGGGCAGTGGTGATGTAAAGCATGGGCAACTCCCACGTCTTTCAAGGCATCTGTGCCCAGCGTGGAAGAGTAAGCCAAAGACACCACTCGAGAGGGGCTCTCTATAGAGCTCCATGTAGCAAGAGGCCCATCATCCGGGGGTGGCAACAAGGAAATCAACTTTCAGGGCTGCACCTTTACTGACCGCACCGTCATTGATCAACCACGACGTGTGTGGGTCCACGTACGGCGTGCAAGTCGAGGTCCAGGGATCTGTTAGACGATCTCTCTGAGGCGGCACTGCTGAGTTTCATCATCATTGTCTCCGTCATTGACGAACGCTTCGTTGTCTCCGCCCACAGCACCACTCCTCGATTGCTGCCGTGACGACGATGACGACGATGACGACGACTCCCCATAGGAGAGCACGTGCAGCAGCGTGAACAACCTACACGGGGGTGGAGGGGGTTGGGGACACAAAGTGGAAGTGGGGGGGGGGGGGGGGGCGCCGTGGTGGCGAGATGGCAAAAGGTCACGGGACAGACCCACGGGCCAATGGTAAACTGACTGAGATGACTGGCAGATGCACCAGCTATGCCCCCTACTGTGCCAACTTGTTGAGTTTTAGCCGCCCGGTGTTCCGCCTGTTGTGGTGAGCATTGCTCCTCTGCTCTCCGTTGTTGCTAGAGGGTGACTGCCTCTAACTGCCCAGCAGCGCCCTTAACGAGCCTTCTCCATAGAGGCCGATCTTGACACCACTGGTTCTAGTCGTTGGCAAGTCCACTCAGCTCCACATCCTCCTATACTGCATCAGTCCATCTCTTCTCCAGTCTATGTCGTGCCCGGTTAGCCCCCTCTATGCAGCCAAAGAGAAGCCGCTTTACCATGCGATGGCTGGGCATAGGGGCTACTTGATCCAGCCAACACAGCCGCGCTAGCCAGAGGAGTTCACCGTCCAGATCTTTCAAGGATATGTGAGCTCGTTACACAATCCAGTCTGGTTACACTCGGGATGGATTGTAGGCAGGGTCAGCCTGAATGTTTCTAACTGGCACAAAAATGTTCCTTTAGAGGCCTCCACGTCATTCTCAAAAGCATAGATAAGGGAGGGCATCACTGTGGCCGAGAAAACCTGGAGCTTCGAGTAACAGACCAAGGAGCTTTCACACAGCGTCACGCAGCCAAATGAAAAGATAATGCTGCATGACTGATTCGGAGTGAGACCTTGGCTGCCAAACAGGAGCTGGTCAAAAGCACACTACCCATACTCACACAAAGATAAGGATCCCCAGTATAGCCTTAAGATACTGTTTGGGCAAGTGCTGTCAGCGAGTAGCACCTATGAAGGCCAGCACGGCACACGAGGGGGAGGTCCAGGACCAGTTCAGATAAATGTCACTGTTGTTGTTCACTGAGTCGACATGCACACATACCTCCTATGGCCATGCGTGGGTCTACCCCCCACCCCCTCACCTGTGGTACAGCATGGCCAGGAACTGGATTATGAGCATGCTGGCGGTGGTGATGAGGAACATGAAGGCGAGGGGCGGCACGTCGATGACCGTCCCCTCATTCTTCGTGCTCGGGATCTTGATGTTAAGGACGGCTCCCACGAACTGCAGTGCCAGGGTCGCCACCAGCCACAGCGCGTTGATCAAGAAGTAGACAAACGTGCCCTGCACGTTGGGACAGACAGACCTGGCCTGCTTTACATTGCATTGGCCGGGGGGGGGGGTGACCCGAGGCTGTTTAGGAACCCCCTCTTTGTGAGTTCAATTCCCTCCCCTACTGTCCATGCCCAACACCAAATTGTAACTTGTGTTGTTATTGTTTCATGGTTTATACATTTTAGAATGATTAGAATAATTTGCAATAAATTAGTAGGAATAATAAGTCATACATAATACAATGTCCTTTTAATCTTCTTCTAGCACAGACCAAGTACGGTAAGTACTCGCTTAATGCCTGGTCTTTGCACAACGCGTTGTCGCTGTAACGCAATTATTCTGTTATTGAAGCATCTCCGGTACTCGCGATGATGCGTCGCCAGTACCTTATTTCTTATCTCGAAGAGTTCCTGATTCACACGTTTCTTGTGAACATTGTCTTCCTCCAGAGGCTTGAGGTAGTCGCTGATCATGCTCTTCCAGAACTCGTCTTCCTCCTATCCATTCCCGATCATGGGACAGAAGGTACACTTTGTGCGATTGTCCAAATAACAACAACTTACTCTGATGAATAATATTAATATTAAGTTGTAATTCCCCACCACTGCACAGTTATTTGCTCGCTGTAGAAGAAAGATATAGGGAGCTACTCGGTGAACCGAGGAGGAATCACAGATAGATGGGAAAGCCGCAGCCATGCACACCATGTGACAGTGCTACCAACAACTGCCCACGCTATGCAGTCCTCTGTATATAAACGTGTTCTCGGCCAATTAATGAGGGTTCACATGTGGCAGGAAATCGGAGCAACTGGAGAAACAAACGCATGTGAGGGAGCAACACTCCATCCCACAGAGACGGAACAGTGGAGTCCACATTTGCTGTACCGCCCTCGCCTGTCGAGCCAGGGTGCTGCTCCTTTCTGATGCCCACGGGAAGGGAGATTCATGACATCATCTCAGTGTGTAATCCACCAACCACGTGTAGTAGCAGCGTTGCCACCACCACCTCCAGAATAATAACATCACTTCCTCCCCATTGCCCAGAATTGTTATCCAGAATGCGCTATCAGTGTCCTGGCATGAGATAAAACTGCAAGTGGAACTCTCGCAGAGAAATGCAGTGAAGCCCTACACCGATAGAGAATGGCCCAACAGAAGCGGATATCACAGAACTAGTGCTAAGGTCCCTTTTTTCAAACTATTTCAAAGCCACACATTAGAGAAACGCGCCACTTGTTTAATCATCACAGAAAACGACACTCAGACAAGTGACTAATCAGCGAAATTTGGACAACTGGGCAACGCGTTGAACAATTAAGAGCCAGACAGCGGGGGGGGGGGGGGGGGGGGAAGATGATGACTTCTAAATCCATTGCATTGTTTAGTACAACAAACCCAACAATCATATAAAATATAAAGCATAAACATCTCGATATTATTTTGATTAATGTACTTCAATTGGAAGGGCCCAATTAGCTGCCATGCTCTGTTTTATGAGATATTTTCTTAATCAAAGTAAAGCAAGCATACAAAATGCATGTTTAGGGCTTTGTAGGCAGGCTTTTAAACATACAACCTGGAACACAACACACACGCTGGCATTGCTATCATCTATTCCAATAACAACCTCTGCTGTACTTTCTAAACTGAGCTCTGACGATTACCTTTCCTCCACAACCACTGCAGTGCAGTTTCCTCACTAAGATCTCTATCAATGTTTGTCCTTATCTTCTGGGCACTTATACACAACAAGGACAAAGATCCTCGTGTAGCCTTAACAGACTGATGGAGAAAGTGCTTGAAGCGACCACCTCCGAACGCCAACACAGCGCACGAGGTGAGTGGCGAGCACCACGCCCGACCACCTTTGTCTTCTCATTTGAGATTTTTATACACAGCTCCAGGTACTCATTTGAGGCTGAGTCGACCTAGGGGAGGCCTAGGACTGGTTCAGATAATCGTCACTGGTATTGGTAGACGTGAGTGGGAATTGAACTCGGGTCACCAGATTCTAAGTGCAGTGTGTTAACCACTGCGCCACTGCTCCCCACAATGTATACATAGCACACGTGCAGAGAGTGGCACACACAGACACACGGACGCACAGGCACAAACACAAAGACACAGCCATAAAAACACACATACACAAGGACCCACCTGATCGAGGGAGCATCTCTGTGTCATAGTGTAACCCTGAGGCAGGACGTTCTCAAACATGACCTGCATCTTGTGGTGGCACTGCCACACGAGGTCATGGCACCCTGCAAGGAACAAAAGAAGAAAGCGATGTGTGGTGCGCTCCCAGTGGAAAGAGCTGCATTGATATAAACGATGATTACACGTTGGTGATTATTCTTATCGTTAGGCTGGTGTAGCCTGCAAGAAAGCCTGGCTGAGTCACAAGGCACTGTCTTCATGAGGATCTTAACAAGTTACCGTAGTAGAGGGGTAATGTTGCTGCTTAGTGTGGTCCCAATTAAGTGATTTGCAGGTATTTTTTTTCAGGATTGTTATATTTTGGTCAATACCAATTACACATGGGAGGAAACTTGAGAACCCGGAAGATGTCCATGCAGAACAGGGGAAGAGAATACAGTCACCCACGCTTCTACTGCAGCAGCAGCAGCGACATGCACTCATTACACACAGAGTGCTTGCCACAAATGAACCACAATACATTGCTGATCTCGTCAAGGAGCATAAATCACCACACAAACTTCGTTCATCCGCTTATTGAACAAAGACGGTCACCGCATCGCGCGATTTAGATGCATGGTCTTGTTTAACTGACAAGCAAAGACTTTGCCTTTGTTTCATGAAAATATTACCTTTGGCATGGAGGGCGAGGTCCGTGTCTGATTCCTCTGGAGGTCGTCTTTCGCTCTCTGCTCCTTCTAGATGCTCCATCTGAGTGCTCGTGGTGTCCTGTTGTCTCGCCTCGAGTGGACGTAGCGTCGTCTCTTCTTCGAGTTCCACCGCGCACGATTCCACTCGGCTGGGAGGGATGATGACAAACTGTTAAACTAAACAATTTTTTTTATTTTATTTTACCAGATAAGGCCCAGAATTGACCTGGCTATCACAAATTATAACTCAATGAAGTGGCTTATGACGTAGAAAATTCCAGCAGCCAAATACTCTAATCGCATGATGGTTCTAAATAAGGAGAGAAAGGAATAGACGCAGACTCCACATAAGCAACAGGCATCATCAGGGTTGGGATCGAAGCCACGACCTCCTGCATACCAGGCGAGGTAATTAACATCTCACCACCACGGCGCCTCAGTTATGAGCACAACCAGAATCACATTCTATACGTTGAGACAAGACTCATCATTGAGAAAAATGTTGTGTCGTGAACCCTCCTCCACCCGACATAGCCAATCAATAACAAGAATCTGTATTTATACTGCAGGAGGAATCCGATGAGCAATTAATCTTTTTTCACAGATGTTCAGTAGGGGCATGGGGTCAGAAAGTTACAGCAAAAAATAATATAAAAAACGATATGAGTGCCAGGTATAGGAAAGTAAGCAAATTACTAAAAAATCAAGAAATTTAAATAAAGCATATGAGTGCAAATTGTATAAGTACATGAGTTACTGCCGATTGTTCAATACTAAATGCAAGCTTGGGGCAAGGCAACAAAACAACAACAGTCCCAAACCACACCAAGATAACACACAGTCCCTCAATAACATTACACAAACATTGAACTATCAATACACGAGAGGTAAGGATCAAAGTAAAAAGCATGGCTACAGGAGCTGATTGAGGTGGTGGTACCTTGAAATGTCATCCTCCTGACTCATCGCCGCATATTCCTTCGGATAGACGCTGATCCTCCACTGGAAGCAGTCCCAATCGAGTGGCAGCACACAGCATTTCGCATCATTGCAACGATGCTTGCTTTTCTTCTTCTGCTAGGTGGGGGGGGGATGGGCATTGTGTGGTAGGGTCCTTCAACGATATCAATCCAGCAGGAATTGCAAACAAACTGGAAGGTAGCTGCAGCTGATCGGTGAACCAGCGGCAATAACTGTCAGACCTCTGAGGTCCTCTATGTATGAAGGTTTTATTGGGCACTCATTGTGTCTACTAATAAGAAGAAATCAGAGCACCATGGTGAAAACAAAAAATTGCGAGGGAGAAACATTCCGTCCAATACAGATAGAACAGAGAGCGTCCACAATTGTATTACTGCATTCTCCTGGCAAGCCAGGGTACGACTTCCTCCTCGACATCCACAACATACATCTGAACCAGTCCTTGGCCTCCCCTAGATTGACTTAGCCTCAAAAATGAGTACCTAATGCGGTGGTTAGTTAACATTTCCACAAGGGAGACAAAGGCGGCCCGCGTGGTGCTGGCCACCCACCTCCGTGTGTGCCATTCCAGCCTTCACTGGTGCTTCTCCCTAACAGCACTTGCCCGAACAGTCGGTTCAAGGCTACACGGGGGATTTTTCTCTTGGGAAGGGTGGGGGACATATGTTACACTTCTTTCGCAGTGTACGTAGCTAATCGTGCTAATAGGAGGTGCGGGACAGAGCAACAGAGGAGAATGGAGCAACTCTCCAAATAGCTATACTCTTTCGTTCTTTCGGTAAAGTCACGTAGGTATAAAATGAAATAAATCACGACGTTTCGATCACAACACAAGCGGTCGTCCTCAGGCGGAAAAAATATAATCCAGCAATGGAACTGCTGAACCAGCGAGAGAGCAGTTACAACAAGGTTATATATGCGGTATTACCTTGTTGTCCCGGCATCTCTTGAGCAAGGTTAGCAATTTTTCTGCCTGAGGACGGACGCTTGTGTTTTGATCGAAATGTCGTGATTTATTTTATTTTATACCTACGTGACTTTACCGAAAGAATCAAAGAGTATGGATTCCTCCAGTCACGAAAGCTTAAAATCAAGATTGAACCGTCTCTACGGGGAGGGTTTCCACACATCTGTTAGAGCTGTGAACAGACTGCAAGACAAGAAGGCTCACCTGATCGAGTCGCTCACCTTTCTCAAGAGATACCGCTATAATAAGGTAATACCGCATATATAACCTTGTTGTAACTGCTCTCTCGCTGATTCAGCAGTTCCACTGCTGGATTATATTTTTCTGCCTGAGGACGACCAGCTTGTGTTGCGATCGAAACGTCGTGATTTATACATTTTATACCTACGTGACTTTACCGAAAGAACCAAAGAGTATGGATTCCTCCAGTCACGAAAGCTTCACTCCAAATAGCGTTGGAAACAAAAACAACGACGGGAATAACGATAACAAGCAAAGTAACTCACCTCTTTTGGGGTGGGCTCAGAAGGTGCCTTGGTCTCGCGCGTGCCCCACGATACGTTATACATGTTGACCAGCGAGTAGATGAGCAGCAGTAGGTATCCCGTGGGGATGCAGATAAAATACATGAAGCCATGCACGATGCAGAAGAACTCGCGTGGGTGCAGCACCGCGGTGATGAGGTAGATGCCCGCAAGTGTGATGAAGAAGATGCCGCTGGGCGTGAGGATGCCGTTCTTGATGAGGTCGCCGATCAAAGCGAGCAGCGTGCCCGTCATGAGAAACATGTAGACCACGGTGAGTACCATGGCCACCTTAAACAAAAAAAAATGTATTTACTTTACCAGTGTAAGGTCCACTGAGGTATACAGCTCTTTTCAAAAGCCACCTGGCCCAAATGATAGCTCAATGAAGTGGCTTATCACGTGGAAATGTATAGCAGCAGCCAAAAACTCGAAACGCAGATTAAACGTGCAGGGAAGACAGAAGAACACACAGACTCCAAATATACAACAGGCGTTAGGGTCGGGAATAAACCCACGACCTCCTGTATACCAGACGAGGGAGTTAACATCTCGCCATCGCAGCAGCGCTGCAGGACGATGGAGGAGACATTAGCCATCGGCATCACCATCGTCCTCTGTGTACAATCACCACCACTTATTGGAAGTTGCTTTGTATTTCGATTTAAAGCTTTCGTGACTGCAGGGATTCATCTTCTTGGTTCTTTCGATAAAGTCACGTAGAAGGGAAGTAATAAAATAATAAAAATAAAACATAGTAAAATAATTCTCACAACGTTTCGGCCACAACGCAAGCAGCCGTCCTCAGGTGAAGAATGAAACACCACCAAGCTTGAGCGTATATTTAAGCTGGGATGGAGGGGGGAGGTGGGAAGAAGAGCGCCTAGACAAAATAATTTGCATATCAAGAGGAATTTAGCATATGAAAATGCGTAGGAGGTGGGCGGGGGGGTTTCAATTTAATATTATGCCCGTGCATTATGCAGGATTAGCAGCATCAAAGGGAGGGGGAAGGGGGGTAGCATTAACAAAGGAAAGGAATGTTAATAGTATGTAGCTGCAATTGCTAAACAACCACGTAAAAAAACTAAAGTATAAACTACATAAACAACTAAAGTATAAACTACATAGCATCATCAGTATACTTACTATACTCTACAATAAGCTGAGTTACTAACAGTAAGTAATACATTACAATTCTACGTCGTAAAAATATATAATATGCTTCCATCTAAACTTTGTTCTCTTACATCACACGAGTTTACACCGTACTATATACTGCCATAGACAAACCCAACATTAAATTAGATACTGTATTGATATAAACCACCCTATACCTTATACATTTCGTCTCTAAAACCAAGCAAATCATTTCTGATTCAACTGCATTAATTGATCAGACCAAACAGTTCTCGTTGAAACCTTCTGCAGCCAGGCCACCAAGATTATACGGCTTGCCAAAGATACATAAAGAAGATACACCTCTTCGTCCCATTGTCTCTACTATCAACTCCCCCACCTAAAAATTGGCTCGTTTTTTGTCTGAAATCCTACGGCCTTTCACTGGAAAAACCACCTCTGCGGTACTAAACTCTACTGACCTGGTATCGACAATCAAGGGGATTGCCCTGTCCCCAGACGACCAGCTTGTCAGTTTTGATGTGGTTTCCTTAATCACCAAAGTTCCTGTACCTGACACCATCGCAATCATTGAAGACTTGGTTCATCAAGGACTGAATGCTGGGGTACCCCCCCTGGTGAGACACTGCTTAACCGAAACATACTTCACCTGGAATGGAACTTTCTACAAGCAAACTGAGGGCACCCCAATGGGCTCCCCCTATCTCCGGTTGTAGCCAACATCTTCAAGAATAAATTTGATACTGACGCCATCCAGACTGCCACTCTACGCCCGACCTTATGGAAGAGGTACGTAGACGACACTTTTGTCATCTGGCCACATGGCCGGCCTGCTCTAGACCAATTTCTCGACCACATCAATTCCATACACCCAGCCATCAGATTCACCATGGAAGTCGAAAAAGATGGCAAGCTACCCTTTTTGGATGTCCTAATTAAAAGAAGACCTGATGGTTCAATGAGCCACTCTCTCTACAGGAAAGCCACCCATACGGATGCTTACCTAAAACCGGATTCCCACCACCATCCATCCCAGAAGAATTCCCTCATCAAGACTCCATACCATAGAGCCCAATGCATCTCCGACCAGGAACACATTGCCTGTGAACTCATACACGTACGCCAAGCTCTTAAGGCTAATGGTTACTCCGACTACACAACCTGCAAAGCCATCACTCCAACCATCAAGAAGGATCCTGTTGAGGAGCTTTTCAAGACCATCACCTTACCCTACATTGCTGGGGTCACAAAAAATATCTCCAAAATCCTGATTAAACACAAGATCCAGGTCCGATTCAACACAGTACATAAAATCCATGATCTGGTCATAAAAGATGTGGTTCCAGACATACAGTACCCTGGCGTCTACAAACTAAGTTGCCTCTGTGGTAGCAGTTACATTGGAGAAACCAAACGACATGTCTCGGACCGCATCCGTGAACATAAAGCAGACCTGAAACACGGTAGGACAAACACCTCAGCCGTGGCAGACTACTGTTACAACTCAGTGGGCTCACATGACATTGACTTCTCCAAGACAGAGGTTCTCTGCAAGCCATCTGGCTATCATGAGAGATTCGTTCATGAGGCGATCCACATATACAAACACAGAGACAATTTCAACAGAGAAGATGGATTCTGGCTTAGCAATCATTGGAAGGACGTAATAAACCATTTCGGATCTTAACTGATTGTGTTCACGTTCACGGTGACTTTCAGACCCTGTTCCACTCACTGGCATTGTATTCTCTGCAGGGAATGGATTCTTTGCTCCCCTGCAAGTTTCCCCCCACGACTCACCCATTGACACGACGGTCAATGGTACAGTGTATAATAACAAATAGAATAACATTTATATGCTTAATACAACGTACAAAGTAATATATAGTATCTTAATTGTATAGTAAACATATAGCAGTGTGATACACATTAGGGTGGGTAGAATAATACATAGTGTTATATTAAAATGTATAAGGTATAGGGTGGTTTATAGCAATACAGTATATCATTTAACGTTGGGTTTATCTATGGCAGTATATAGTACGGTGTATGCTCGTGTGATGTAAGAGAATAAAGTTTAGATAGAAGCATATTATATAATTTTTACGACGTAGAATTGTAATGTATTACTTACTGTTAGTAACTCAGCTTATTGTAGAGTATAGAAAGTATACTGATGATGCTATGTAGTTTATACTTTAGTTGTTTATGTAGTTTATACTTTAGTTTTTTTACGTGGTTGTTTATCAATTGCAGCTACATACTATTAACATTCCTTTTATTTGTTAATGCTACCCCCCTTCCCCCTCCCTTTGATGCTGCTAATCCTGCATAATGCACGGTCATAATATTAATTTGAAACCCACCCGCCCAACTCCTACGCATTTTCCATATGCTAAATTCCTCTTGATATGCAAATTATTTTGTCTAGGCGCTCTTTCTCCCACCTCCCCCCCTCTAACCCAGCTTAAATATGCGCTCCAAGCTTGGTGGTGTTTCATTCTTCACCTGAGGACGGCTGCTTGCGTTGTGGCCAAAACGTCGTGAGAATTATTTTATGTTTTATTTTTATTATTTTATTACTTCCCTTCTACGTGACTTTACCGAAAGAACCAAGAAGATGCTTTGTATTTATTCTGCACTTTTCCACGAGGTTCTGAAGGCCCTGCACTTTACAAACAACAACACAATAATGATAGCTCATTGGTCAAGGAAAGGAAGACCCAAGAGGTTTGGGAGCTCATTGAAAGAAGTGAAAGCAAGAGAATGAACACGCGTCCAGGTGTGGTCTGAAAACCGCCACTAGATTGATCAACGCACGCTTCATAGTTAACAAATGGTGCTGATCCAGGATATGATAAGGATTGTAGACTCGACATATTGGTCATTACCAAAAACCTGGATATATGATGATGTAATTAAGCATGAGGCTGCACCTAATGGATATGCTATTGTACATCGACAGTGTCACGGGAAGCCTGGCACCAGCAGCCCACTTGGTGATGGGATCGCACTGTTTCGCCATAAAGAAATCTGTGTGAAAGCCCTGAGTGACTCTTTAACAATCGTGTCATTCAAGCTGCTGCTTATGACAATAACGAACATCAAGCGGGGGCTTACAATCGCTGTCGTCTACGACCATCGTCTTCACCGCTGTCAGAATAATTTTCCTAGCTTTCTGGTCTGGTAGATTGTGGGTCACTTGGCTATCGCTACATCATCTGTGGTGAAATGAACTGTGCCGGACCGACTGGTTCTTGTAGGAAAATCAACAGTGATTTCGCCGAGATGTTCAACAGTCAGTTTAACCCAGCACGTCAGCGGCACAATACGTCACTCGGAAAATATACTAGATTACATCTTCACATTTAGAGATGTCGTAACTTTGACCGACGTTCTTACCGATAACATGGCTATTCGGATCGCAGTCTTGTGACGTGCAAAGTGGCATTACCGATTATTCGCCCACCCATCACAAAGATATCATAGAGAGACTGGAAAGGACTGGACCACGATGCTTTCCCTCAGAAGATCCGGTCATCATCGGCGCATCTGAATACTGCATCAACGGTCGATTAATTTGCAGCTCAATTAAAAAATGACATTACCACTGTTGTTGATGAACTCGTGTCCATCCATTAAAGCACTAAGAGAACGGGGAAAGCGCAAAGTGACTTACTGTCACTGGAGGCAATCGCTGCAAAACAGATACGGAGGTGGCTGGGGTATCTTTGGAATAAAACTGTTTTCCAGACTGTCACACTCGCTTACAGAGCCGCCTGCAGATCTGCAAACCAGCTCATTATTGAGTCTCGCAGATCATTCTATGGTCTGCGCATCAATGAGTCGGTTCGCGACCCCGTGTTCTGTGGCGCGTTGTGAAGGGTCTGTTGCACTCCAACCCCATCAACCAGTCAACCCGGTCTGTGCACAGTACTTGTGACATTCTTCGCCAATAAAGTGATTATTAATATGGCAGTTTCAAACTTGCTCTCAACGCATTCTCCCTCTCTGTCATCTGAGTTTGATCAACCTGAAACCAATGGAAAACTCGTCGGTAGCAGAGGTGTCAATGTTCCTTGCACAGCTGCCAAATAAGACATTGCCACTCGACTACATTCCGATATTGATTCTCAATTTATGCTTGGTCGTACTTGTGCTGACAATTGTCCACCTGGCAAATATTTAAATAAGTGAGGACTGTTTCCGAGACCATTGCAAAATGGCACCGCTCCTGAAAAAAGTTGGCTTGAGCCATAGTGACCACCCAGACTATCACCCGATCTGAAACCTGAATATAATTTCCAAGGTCATAGAGTGCCTGTGTCTGAAGCGGTTACTTCCGACGTCACTGCGATGAGCAAATTCAACCCGTTGTAGTCGGCATACGAACAATTCCACAGCCCTGAAAAGACTACTAGAGGTCAGTGTTGATCTCTAAAAGATCATGGATGACTGGTGCGTCGCAGCATTGGTTGGCCTCGATCTCTCAGCCACCTTCGACACCATTGACCATGAGATACTCATTGAGCAGATAAGGTCAAGGTTCGCTGCATCGGGTATGGAACTAGAGTAGATTGAGTCATACCTGTATGGTGGATTACAGTTCGTCAAGCTGGGTGACAAAAAGTCATCTCCTATGCCATGCCTAGTCAGCGTACCACAGGGGTCCATCCTCGGGCCCTCCCAATTTTCAATATATGTCTCTCCGATCGCTGATATTATCTCATCGCGTAACATGAAGTTCTATAAATATTCCGATGACTCACAATTGTACACTGCAATGAAGAGAGCCTCAGCAACCTCGAAGATTGCATGTGAGCAGTGCACGTGTGCAAGAAATGAAATTGTGGGAAAATCAGATGTGGCAGTCGCAGACTCCAGGATTCAGTTTTCGATTAATCTAAATAGCCTCAACATCGTACTCAGAATATGTCGTGTGAACACCACGTGCAAAATATAATCAAGTCCTGTAATTTTCATATCAGGCCTCTACGACACATTCGACCACTATTGAGGCGTGACATAACCACCACGGTGACGTGTAGCATAGTAATGATAAGGCACAATTATAGCAACATACTGCTCTATGGGACGTTGGCACGTGTTCTGATGGGTATTGCAAGTTCAACATACATTGTGGTTCATTTGTGGAAAGCACGTTGTGTGTAATGAGTGCCGCGTGCTGCTGCAGGAGAAGCGTGGGCGCCCACCTTGATCTGCGTGTCGGGCTTCGTCTTGAAGCAGACGGCGATGTACAGAGCAGGCGGAATGATGGCAATGAGGAGTGCCCAGTTTTGGTCCATTTTGAAAAGAAAAGTGAAACATCCTGAGCACCGGCAAGAGACAAATACCACATGAGCTGAATACCATCATCATCCCCACCACCATCACCATCATTACCATCATCATCGCTACAACCACCATCATAGGCATCATCATCACCGTCATAATTACCATCATTACCATCCTTAATACCACCACCATCATCATCACCACCACGATTGACAACGACAACCGTTCAACCAGCAGTAAAGTAAAGAGTGCACTCAGATTAACAGAGTCGTGCAGCCTGTGTGTAAAGAATATTTTGCTGAAAGAAACTTACAGCAGTTTGAATACCCCAGCACACAAGCAATAATACTCACAATATTATTAACAGTGCGCATATGTTATGATGAGAAGATTAACACGATCAATCACTTTGAGGCTGTGATGTTATCAGAAATATAGCAATCAAAAATATCGTTGCAGAAACAACTGTGAGTGATGACATGAAGCCATGCACGACTGTGAGGAGAAGTGTTCCAAGTAAACTTTTTTTTATAAAGTAAACTATTGTTATTATACCAGATAAACCCACTGAGCATTGGAGCTTATTTTTCAGAAGCAACTTGGCCACAAATGATAACTCAACAAAGTGGCTTATCACGTGTAAATTGATAGCAGCCAAATAGTCTAAACGCATGATGTTGATTCTAAACGTGGAGACAAAAACCGCAGGACCCGGAGAAAAATCAACACGACCACGAGGAGAGACATGCCAATTCCAAATATACAGGTGTCGGAATAGAACCCACGACCTCCTGTATACCAGGCGAGGGAGTTAACGCCTCTCCACCATGGTGCCCTCTCTTTTGATACAGTACTTGCATCAAAAGGATGAACCCGGATAAATAAAATAAAAACCCAGGACATGTGACAACCCGAAGTCACCTGCAATCATGAGACAGACAGTAGCCGGACCCATGATGGAGGTGGCCATGTAGATGATCTGATAGAGAATGTAGAGCCGAGAGATGGACGGGTTCTTCTTGGCCGTGCGGACGCCGTTCTCCAGGATGCTGAAGGTGTTCGCCATCGTGGAGGGGCCCCACCGCCTCCGCTGGTTGAAGAACTCCTTGAATTCCTGCGGGGCGTTGGTGTAGGCGTCCGATCCGGCGCAGTACTCGACGCGCCAGCCCTGCTGCAGCATCAGCGTGCACAGCCAGCGGTCCTCGCCTGCACCCACAAATGGGAGAGGGGACGTCCGCGAGTTAGAGGGTAACCAGCTCATTGTACCCACAACCTGGCCGAGTAGCGTTTCTCTGTAGCTGCACCAGCAGTAGCCGTCTGAAATTATCTCTCTCTTTGTATCTTTTTTTCTATCTCCCACTGCTGCACACGCAGGAGCAGAAGCAACAAGCACCATCATCCGCCTTCAAGAAGCCGACTCTCACCTGTAAATGCTCTCACCTGTCCAGGCTCTCACCTGGTTCAGAGTGGTAAATGAGGGACTTTGACCTTTCACCTCTAAATTCTTGATGGCACATTTAATTAAATTCGCGTAGTGTGCATGTTGTATTAATCGTGAATGCAGCTTGCTCACTCCACTGCTGGCAGAGGAGCTCGGCAACATCCAGTTCGCCAGACGTCTTGGAAAGAGATCTGGATACCCACACCGTAGAGTCTCCACACACGACCTCCCGATCAACTGCGTGATGAACCCATTCATACAGAGGGCATGTTGGGGAGGGGAGCGGTGCATATAAATCAGACTCAGAAGGCAGAGACCAACATTCTAATGATTCATGATTCGTTCATTGTGGGTCCGATCATCGTGCAGGTATAATATCGGAGTCATGCAAGTTGTCAATTGGGCGAATGTCAATAGATTGTTTTTTTCTGAAAAAGTTAAATGTAAATAAATAATATATATTCATATTTATGTAAACATTCTCAATATTTTGCTGTCCTTTCAATATTCGGGTTTTGATAATTAAACCAAAACAATTGACGTAGTTGCCCCATGACCTAACAACTTTACTCGATTGGCTCTATCGGGTGGTGGACGCTTATTGTTAAAACAAATTAACACTATACCTACACGATAATCTAACCCAGCATGAACGAATTGTCAATCATGAATATTGGTTGTGAAATCCGACGTATGATATTGATGTTGCGGGGTCTCGACCCACGTATTACCGCGATGAATGGTGCGAAAGACATTCTAAATACATACAACGTCCAAGTTTGTCGACGGGATGTTCGTAGAATTGTAGTTGTTTATACCAATGCGACATATTTGCATTGCCTACACAAGCCAGAAGGGTTGGGTGGGAAATTAACAATCAGATCGTATTGTGGCTGAAGAAAGAGTTGCAATTACTTCCACGATTTGTCTAAAGTAAAACTAAACTATTTTTTTTTATATTATTTTACCAGGTAAGGCCCAGTGTGCCATGTAGCCCTTTTTCAGAAGCGACCTGGCCACAAATGAAAGGTCATCGAAGCAATGGCAGAGCCAGGATTTTCAGGTAGGGGGGGGGGCAACCCCTCCAGCAATGAAAAATGATAGGAGTTGTTAGTAAGTAAGAACTTGTCCCTTGCTTTTTATTTGACACGTGTGCGACGATGGTGCAGCCATCGATTGAGGGTCTAATTCGAACCGTGTGGGTTCGGCATCACGCTCGCTGAAGGTATGCCTTCAGGGAAGTCGTGTACTGTATACGCAGCTTCGCACAATTCTGTGAGTCACTTATAACTGCTTTGCCGTTACTTATTGCCAATTGTGGACTCAGACTATTGTCCTATCATCTCATAGAGTCCCTGGCACGTAATTATATGCTACACAGTGGCAGTGGGGATCGCAAAATGCCGATTTATTACTAATAAACCCCAATAATCCAATCGAATTAGGGATTTTGATCAGATCATTGGGGGGGCACGTGCCACCCCCCCCCCCCCACTGGCTCCCCCAGTGCATTGAAGTGACTCACCATATGGAAATTATTAGCAGCCAAATGTTCTAAGCGCGTGATGTTGATTCTAAATGTGTAGGGAAAAACCGGAAGACCCGGAGAAAAATTCACGCAACCACAGGGAGAGAGAGAGAGAGACACGCAAAATCCAATAAACACGTGTCAGGGTCGGGATGGAACCTACGACCTCCTGTATACCAGGCAGGGGAGTTAACATCCCGCCACCGTGACATGTTTACATGTTGAACTTCTTTCGCACCACACGTAGCCAACCGTGCTAATCGGAGGTGCGAGATCCAAACACACGTCGACGCTTACCTTGGTCGTACTGGATGTACTGCAGGGCCTCGGTGGCCACGGTGGTGTAGGTCTTGAGGACGTTGTCGTCCATGATGGCCTTGGCCCGGAAGAGGCTGAAGCAGCCAGGGCTGCAGAGAACGCAGCCCAGCACGTGCTCGGCCGTCTTCTGCAGCCAGTGGCCTACCGCGTACTCGAACTTCTGGTACCAGATGAGCGGCCCTGTCGGTGTATAAACAATCGTGGTTAATTGGCTTAACGCAACTCATAGTGAAAACCCAATGCAGCCGTCCTACAATTCAGGTGTGATTTTCCTGGATAAATATATGTTGTATGTGGGTTGTATGTTGTATTGTATGTTGTATGCATGTTGTATGTATATCTTTTGAAAAAAACTACTGTGATTTTTGCATTGGAACCACCACGAGAGAAAGTTTGTTTGTAAGCGTGGAGAGCGAGGTTAGAGCTTTGAATTCCGAGATTGGGAGGAAATATAATTGTTGACTAAGGGGGATCAAGGGTGGGTCAAGAGGAGGGGTAGGGAAGTACAAGAGGAGGGAGAGGGAATAGGCAGGGGGGCAATGAAGGGGAGGATCGGAGACATTTGGGGGGTGTAGAGGGAGGGAAGGTTTGGAGGAAGAGTGGATGGCTAGAGGGTAGGGAAGGGCATGCTGGGGAGACGAGAGGAGGGGGTGATGAGAGAGGGAAGGAGGTGAAGGAGAGAAGCAAGCCGGAAGAGCAATCCGGGAGGCCACAGTGGGAGAGCGGGAGGGCAGGGAGCAAAGGGATCGGTGGGGTCAAGTAAAAACGACACAAGCTCTTTGAATTATTCCCCTGTTTTAATTGTGTATTTGTTATTTGTTTATTTTAAATTGTGTGTTCATAAATAGATGGGATTTTTCTTATAATAATGAGTCAAGAGGTGGCTAAATCTGTGCTCTCCGGTTTCCTGGTTGAAAAGTTGGGTTTGTGTCCTTGCCCAACGCTGGTCCAGCCTTGCTCGACCACTGAATAAACGAAAGACATCTGAATTGTGCCGTTAAAGCATCGAGATTGGATATTAGTGCGTGCCACGTAGTTTGATTTCGTCGTAACTATGTTTGGTGTTAGTCAGTCTGCGGTCTGCCTCGGCTCAGCATGGCACGTGCCAGCTTATGCCCACTGCTACATTCTCCTGGCAGATTTCAGTGACAGATTTTGTTTGTTGGGCACCTAACCTCTAAGGGAATAGTACAGGTTATGGGAATCTATTTATTTATTTATGTATTATGTTTGCGAGCCAGCTGGCCAGGAAGGTTGGACGATTACAAAGGGTGGAGATGTGTTGGATTATTACATCGCAGAGTCGTGAGAGATGGCGACGACTTGGGGAGGCCTTCATCCCGCAGTGGATTGACCACGCTGATAATAATGATATTGATTTTGATTTACAATCAATAATTATCTGGGATTTGCGCAATTTACTCCGAAGTCTTTGCAGTATTTTGGTATTTAATTTGAGCTATGTGGAGTCAAACTTCCATTACTAGTGGTAGTGGTGGTTTTTCTCAGACCACTTCATGATATAACAATTCGGCTCCATGTGCACTCGGTACTGCTGTGGTGGACGCGTATTGATTTAATTCCAATCCTACCACTGTGCTTACGTGTGTGTGATTATTTAACTTTCTTTAAACATCCTGAATAGTTGTGGTAGCAAGGGCATTCTGTTATTCATAAAGGTTTTCGGGTTAGGTCGCGTAAGTATAAATGCGTCGTAAGAGGCCGTCCATAAATGACGTAACGCACCTAGGGAGGGAGGGGGTCAGACATTTGTGACGATGTGTGACGAGGGCGTGAGGGGGGAGTTTGAGAAATGTGACGTCACAGCGAAATACGCAACTTTAAATAAATATAGAATTGTTATAACAACACTAATTGTTATAACAACACTCTAATAACATCAGAGTGCAGCGCCACATTAAATACGCACTACAAAGATAATAGTTTAAAGCGATTTGAAGCATGTTTTATTTTCAAAATGGAAATATGGTTTTGGGGGGGGGGGCAGAGCTTTGTGATGTCATATTTGAGGGGGGTCTGACTTTTTGTGACGCTATGTGACGAGGTGGGGGGGGGTCAAAAATCGTCCAAAATCACGTGACGACATTTATGGACGGCCGCTAGCCCTCCCCACCCGACACAGCCAGTAAGGTTTGTCACGTAAGCAAAATGTGCAAATGAGTTACTATTTCAGCCCACCCGTTTGTTGGAAAGTAAATCCACACCACAGTGCGCTAAACACTGCACTACTGCTCCGCACCACACACGCACGCATCCTACACCACACACACATCATGCACCACACACACACATCATGCACCACACACATCCTGCACCTCACACACACACATCCTGCACCACACACACATCCTGCACCACACACACCACAGCTGTCTACGCACCCACACCCGTCGGGTGAATTCTCCCGCAGGCGGCGCCAACGGTGGGGTCCCTCCTGAGTCGGTCGATCAGCATGGAGAGCGCCGAGGGGTAGAAGTCCGTGTCTCCGTCCAAGGCCAGCACATAGGTGTTGCGCTTCTTCCTCTGTGGCGGTGAACGGGGAGTAGTGGCACGGAGACAGATCAGCACCAGCGGTGGCATTACAGCCGCGACCTCGTACAGAGCAAGCAAAGCAACCGATCACTTAGCTCGTCAACCCCAACGCTCCTTCTCCAACCTCCAACAACCAAACACACAATGTATGTATGTATGCTGTATGTATGTTGTATGTGTAGTGGGTATAAATTGACGAATAAACTTCTGATGAGGCAACACGATATTTTATGTCTTTCTTTCAAGTCCCTAACACAAAGGGTTTTCGGTCCCTTTACCCGATACCTTGGGAGCTATGGCCTCCGAACTATACGGGCCCTATCACTGGGTACCCCGTTCCCCTTCGTCCTCCGGCTGGGGCCTAGAGGAGGCTATCTGACCCGACCGTACCCGGTCCAGGTCTTCATTCTTCAGCTTGCAGATGACTGAGCCAGACCTCTGAGAGGTCCGGCTTATGGACTGATTCGTGGCTTGCTCCACCCTAGCCACGCCTCCCTTCTAGAACTTTCTGGAAGGTGACATCATCCGCCGGTTCCCCCCTCCCGGGGCCCCGGGGAATGTGTCCCAGGATCCATTAGCTAGGGTTTGTTGTAGGCCCCTTTTTTGGCCATGGACATTAGCCCTGGCGTGATAGCGCTTCCGCCCCCTATTGACGATAAAGGGAAGCTACCAGCCCACAGAGTGGTGAGTGACGATTACCCCGACATATGTATGTTGTATGTATGTTGAACTTTTTTAGTACCGTACGTAGCCAACCGTGTTAGTCGGGGAAGGACAACAAACTAAACACAAACCGCATTTCAAAATTCAATAGTATTCAAAATAGATTATTTAAAAGTGCATAGCTACAGTAGATTCCTAAAAACAACCACAAGGGTCGAGAGATCGTTGCTATCTGCAGCGCTACAACCTCTGGAAACAATCTCCCCGAAGCGGTGTGCACACTCGACTCCATCATAACTTCATTAACAGTGACAACTTAATGGAAACAATGCGGCTCTTTTTGCTTGCGTACAACAACTAACTCCAGCCATCCTCACAGCAGCGGCTTTTGGTGAGCCGTTGAACAAAGATGGGCACTGCATCTCGCACTTTCAGATGCGCTTCTACGGTGGTCTGGAACGCTCTTCCTTCCGATATTAGGAAGCAACTGGAGCTATGCACTTTTAAATCATCAATTAGATTGGACACTAATTTCTCTAGAACTGCGTTTTGTGTTTGGTTTGTTGTTCTTCCCGCACACCTCCGATTAGCACAGTTAGCTACGTACGGTGTGAAAGAAGTTAAAAATGCATACAACTAACTCAGAGTCGCAAACCTATTTTGCTCATATTTTAAATAACTGTAATAAGTGTATGTATATAGATATTTCTTAATGTATAGAAATTTCGATTGCAATTTTTAATACCAACGTGATGATGGCGCGTTGAGTGATACATTTCTGCCAGAGAGGTAACCAAAGATAGACTTCTAAATGTGCCGAATCTGCGTGCACAGACACGCGTAGTGCAGGCTACGACTGGGCCTCCACCCAGAGGTAGAGAGCCCGAGAGAGAGAGACCCTCGAACAAACTAAACAATAAAAATTTACTAGGCAAGACCCACTGAGCTATTAGCTCTTTTTCAGAAGCGACCTGGCTATCAAAAATTATAGCTCAACAAAGTGGATTATCAATTGGATATTTATAGCAAATACACGAAATGCGTGATGTTGATTCTAAATGTGGAGGGAAAAACCGGAGGACCCAGGTAAAAATCCATACGACCAAGGGGAGAGAGACACGCAAGCTTTAAATATACAGGTGTCAGGGCCGGGATCGAACTCAGTGCCTCCTGCATACCAAGCGAGGTCGTTAACATCTCGCCACAGCGGCGCCCTAACAGGGTGTATTTGGTCTACACTTCCACACTGCTCCCACGTCTTGGGGGAAGAGAGGGGAGTACTCACACTCTACCCCACCGCACGGGAACTGCACATCCACAGAATGTGCAGGGCTTACCCATTTAAACTGGCAAGTGGAAGTGTAAAGCGGCCTCCCCAAGGTCGGCTTAACCTTAAATGAGTAAACATTAGCACTGGGGAGACAAAGGTGGATGGGCGTGGTGTTGGACACACGACCCGCTTGCGTGCCGTCCCGTCCTGAACAGGTGCTCGCTAACAGCATTTGCCTCAACAGTGTGTTAACGGCTATATGAGGGATCGTTGTCTTTGCAGTTTACAAGACCCTTACCTCCACCCATTCCTCTTGTTCATCTTTCTTCACTGTGTGGATCTTGCGGTAGATCTTCCAGCCAAGGAGGTAGTACATGTACATCACCTGTACAGAACACGTCAAGGGGTTTAATAATAACAATCACCATCAGCAGCAGCAGCCGTGATTGATCCACTACTGGATTAAGACCTACCCAAGTCGTCACGATACCTCATGAGATCCTGAGTCGTTATCCACCCAGCACCTCCATTACCGACTGATTCCATCGCTCCATCTCCTCGGCGGCCAATCCTCTTGTATAAGTTACATTATTTGGCTGCCACTCCACTATTATTCTCGACATAATGGCCATGATGGCGCGTGCTGCCCAAGTGTAACTCAAAAGCGCACGTGAAACGAATTATTAATCATCACGTGATTTCATTTTCAAATGAGGAGATGACTCTCGAAGTAGCATACAGATGGCTTCAATAGGCGTGAGCTATTGCCATCTCCTCTGTACGGCAGATGCTGGTGACAACTCGTAGAGCGAGAGCTGTAACTTTACATCGAGGTGGTTGACGAACCAGATGATTGCGCCAGGAGTAGCGGAGTGGCGAATCATCGCTGCTGCGTTCGTGTTGTGAATCGGGCGTTGAGTCGTTTTGTGTTCCGTCGCTCTGTTCTGGGTAGTGACCACTGTCGATATTAGGAATGCACAGGAGCTATGCACTTTTAAATCTAGATTGTAAACTCATTTCTTTAGAACGGCTTTCTGTGTTAAATGTTTTATCCGTCCCTGTACCTCCGATTAGTATGGTGAGTAGGGTAAGGTGTGGTGTGAAAGAAGTTCAACATACATATGGACGGTCACTGACCGGAGATATTTACTTTTCTAATTGTGCATCATCATCGTCATGTATAAGCGCATCAGCTGCTACTATGCTCTGTGTGGATGCGGTTGTAGGGTTTGTGGCCCAATGAGCTTTGGGGCAGAAGATCTGAAGCCCAAGGACGCAACAAATACCTGTGACCACCGCTTGCGATGGCGGATCATCTCCTTGTCCTTGAGGTGCACGCACAGCGAGTTGCCGTGCGGGAGTTTGTAGGAGAGTCGCGCTCCGTACGGCGTCTGAGTCCTCTCCATTGACGGCGCCTCTTGTGGATTATTCGAGTTTTTCTCAAAATACCTTCACATCAGCAGCAGAAGCACAAGCGACAGGGAAGACGCGCCCCAATTACTATGTTGCATTGTTGCTGCTGCTACTGCTGTCATCTTGGATGAAGTCCCCAGCTGTTACCTCACTGCTGCACTCGACAAAATGTTGAATATTTAGGTTATTTGGCTGCTATACATTTCCACGTGATAAGTCAATTCGTTGCGCTATTATTTGTGGCCAGGACGTTTTGAAAAAAGCTAATACCTCAGTGGGTCTTTCCTGATAAATTTAAAATAGTTTCGTTTCATATTTGTCTTTTGTGATATGCTTACCTGTCCTATACTTGGCACTCCTATCGTGTTTTTGTATTGTTTGTTGATGTAACGGTCTCACCGTCCCCTGCTGGACATCTGTGAAATAGAGCTTTGCAGCTCATCGAATTCCTCCTGCAGTTTAATAAAAAATTATGATTCTGAATTGAATACAGCAGCAGCAGTCGTGGGTGACCAATGATCCAGCACTCAAATATGATCTCCCAGTTGCTCGCTGGCTCACCGGCGGTCAGTTGCCTTCGTATCGCTCTTCTATTGCTACTACTTCTACAACCATCGTTACTGTTCACAAGAACTTCATAGATGAATTCCTCCACCCGTGTCGAGGGCCTCGGTCGCCCGGACTGAGTCGTATCGTTGTCTAAATTCTTACCAACGCACGAACAAAAGACAACGATCCCCCGTATAGCCTTCAACAGAGTGTTGAGGCAAGGACTGTTAGCCAGTAGCACCTATGAAGGACGGCCCGACACACGAGGGGGTAGGTGGCCAGCACCACGCCCGCTTGCTTTTATCTCCCCAATTGCTGCACCGTTTTGTGTAAATTATGTCATGCGACGTGTGCACTCTAGAGCAAGGTTGGCTTTGCATGGTGTGAAAGAAGTTCAACGTAAATACGGACGTGTATAAAAAGATGAGGCTGCCTGCTCAATTCAACACGAGCGTGAACGCTCATCTATCACACCGCCCACCACAATGTTTCTGTTTGCCAGCCAATTGTCAGTTTGTGCACCTTCGGATCTGTGCTCAACAACGGTGATGGTGACGCAAGGCCTCGCTAGGCCTGCGATCGGCGCTCACGTCGGTCATCTGCGTGACCATCACCAAACATCGTCATTGTTCACCGTGATTTATCAAATTCTGCACGAAGGCATCTGCGCAGGCTATTCCCATCCTTTTCTTGTTCTCGCGCACACCACGAGATGAGCTTAACTTCCCTGTGCCGTCCCTTGCTTCATTATTAGAATGCTCGTGCCTCTATCCATCCTTCCCTCCCTCCATCCACCCAGCTCATCTTGACCACATAATAACACCCGGTGCACTGACCGGCACACTTCGGCGATGACGTCCATGAGGCTGGTCACGAACTGGTTGACCACCATGTGATCTCCCTTCATCTCGAAGGCGTCATCGAAGTAGATGTGAGCCGAGAAGTCGTACGGTTCCCGCTTCACTGTCTTCCCCTTCTTTTCCTCCTTCTCCCTTTTCTCATTTTCCTCCTCCTTCTTCTTCTCCTCCTTTTTCTCATTTTCCTCCTCCTCCTTTCCCCCCTCCTTCTTCTGCTTCTCCTCCTCCTTCTTTTTCTCATTATTCTTCGTCTTCCCTCTGCCGCCGGAACCGACGCTTAGATCCTTAGGCTGACTCCTGTCCAGCCTGGCAGCGGCAAGGGGGAAGGGTGGTTATTGTTATTCCGCTACTGGCTCTCCGAGTCAAGGTCACGGTACAGCATCGCTGTCCTCTGCAATCGAGCGCTCACCCAAGATCTCCTGCCGAATGTTTCCTCCACCTTTCTCATCCCACAGATATCAGCAAACTGCCACCGCATCCTATGGAGTTCAACTCACAACGACCTCTACCCACAGCTGGCACCGGCTTCTGGGTGAGTGGCATTTCTCTGTAGCTGCAGCAGTCAGCAGCCGTCTGGAACTCTCTCTGTATTTATCTCCCACTGCTGCACAAGCAGCAGCAACCAAGCACCATTATCCACATTCAAGAAGGAGACTCTCACCTGTCCAGGCTCTCACCTGTCCAGGCTATCAACTTGTTTAGGCTCTCGCTCCCACCTGGTTCAGGCTCTCACCTGTCCAGGCTCTCAATATTATTATGCATCTTAATAATGTTTGCAGCCTATATGTGTTAAATCAAGTTGATTTAGTTGATTACAGCTTTCACCATTCACAAACATCGCTCAATGATCACATGCAAAGAACGGACCCACATTAAATACGATCATCTGATTGGCTGCCACGTTAGGAGGCCAAATGTTCCGTGCTAATCGGATGTGGAGGGAAAGGACAATAAACTAAACACAAAAAGCAGTTTTGAAGAAATTAGTTGTTAATCTAAATAATTTAAACATCCATAGCTCCAGTGACTTAATAATATCGGAGGGAAGAGCATTCCAGATGGCTGTAGAAGCACATCTGAAAGCGCGCGGTGCCGTGACCGAACGAAATTAATGGGTTGGTTCACACCCATCTGCATATTTGCGAGGGACTCCCACTGGTCCGTGGGATCCGGCCGCTTGATGGGAACTGGCGGTAGGTAAAATACTACCTCAGGATGGACGAGATGATCTTCGTCATCTCCTCCTTGGTCTCGTGCCACATGGTTGCGCACAGATAGATCTTCACCCTCTCTTGCTCTTGGCTGCTACAGGATACAACGAGAACATGACATCGTATTCGGATTGAGAGAGGGAATCGCAGAGCGCGGTTCTCTGTTTTATGCATTGGACAATGTGGGGTGGACATATTTTGGTCTGTAGGATAGAAGGGCAAACGTCACAAATTGTCATCATTTTGAAAAAAAACATGTTTGGATTATTTGATCATACTTTACCACCGACACTCAAAACACGACAAATAGACAAATGCATCGACCAGACTACCACACAATAAAAACAAAGATCGGCCATATAGCCTTGACAGACTGTTGGGGCAAGGGCTGTTAGTGACTAGTACTTATGTAGCCCAGAACGAGACTCCAGGGGATTTGTGGCCATTCACACAGACACACACCTAGTCACACGGACATCTAGTCACACAGACACCTATTTAGACAGACACCTAGCCACACAGACACCTAGTCACATATGTTGTGGGCTTGTATGGAGACAGAGTCTTCTTAGGAGGCAACACGTATTTATTTATAACAACGATAACGATAACACTCGGTCCCTAACACGGGCTAACGTGCCCTAACTAATAGGGCCAACCACTCTTTAGCCCTCCGGCTAGCGGGACCTAGGGGAGGCTGACCCGACCCAGCCAAGGTCCTCGGGTCTCGACCCTGGCCCACACAGACCCGGTCCTGAGAAGGGCGTCGGGTCGGGGGATCCTCAGGGTACTAGCCTATTGACCACTGGCCTCACTGAGCCCCGGGCCTTATAAGGACGGCGGGGCTTGGGGTCCAGGGTCCTATCTTCAGGTGGATTCTGGGTCTTCGGCTTGAGGCAAACTGACTCCAGCCGCTCTGGGGTCTGGCTTTTATGGGGCTCCCAGGGTCACCCCGCCCCTAGTCATGCCCACCATCTGGAACCTTCTCGAGGGACCTGGATTGTTGCGCAATCCTCCCCAGCCCCCTACTGGGGGGCCTGGGGTGTCCCCCTCCGGTTCCCAACCGTCCCCCCCCGGGATGCCTGAACCACGAGTCCTGCTTAGCACAGGCTGGACTCGCTATTGCCCCCTGTTGGCCCCTGACTGGAAGTACCTGCTCAACCAAAGTATTGGCGGCATATTATGCCCAACAATCACCCACCACACATAGATACAACAAGCAAACAAAGCCTGATCAGACTATTGGGGCAAGTGATGTTAGCGAGCACCTATGAAGGCCGGCACAAGGTGGTGGGTAGCCAACACCACGCCCGGCCGTCTTTGTCTCCCCAGTGGTGATGTTTACACACCACACCAGGTGCTCATTTGAGGCTGAGTCGACCTAGAGAAGGACCATGACCGGTTTAGATAATTGTCACTGATGTTGGCCGTGAGCAGGAATCGATCTCGGGTTACCGGGTTCGTAGCACAGGGCGCTAACAGAGACACTGCCACTCCCTACCTAGATACACACAAACACACACACACCTACTCACAGAGACACCTACACACAATCACACACACACACCTACTCACAGAGACACCTTGTCACGTACAGACACACCGAGTAACAAATGTATCGATTCAGACTCCCAGACACACCGTGTCACACACAAACCAAGTCACACGCGCACACACCACGCCGTACCAACACCAACAGACGGACCTCCTCTCCTCCTCCACCTCCTCCTGCTGCTGCCGCCGGTTGAGCAGCAGTCCCGCGACGAGACACGCGGGCTGCGGGGCGCGGCGCACGAAGAGCTCGCGTGTGCGCTCCATGCGCATTGCACCGCCCGGGCGCAACGCGGGCGCCGCCGCCAGCAGCAGCGCCGCAAACCACAGCGCCCCGGCGCCCAACGTGAGCACGGTATCCACCACTGAGTCCTTGCCAGGACCCACGAACGAGCAGACGGCAGCGGCCGTGCGGTCATAGAAGAGTGAGGTAGTTGCGGACGTCGTCTGCTCGGAGCCGTTCCACCGTCGGACCGACTCGCAGTCATAGCGAGAGTCGCCCGAGGCGTCGAGCACGAAGTGGAGGGCGACGACGACCGCCAGGGCGGCGGGCGTGGCGAGGCAGAGCGGCGCGGCGAAGCAGCTCCTCTGCTGGCGGATCTTGCAGGCGGCGTTCGCGAGCCACTTGCAGAGGATGGAGGCGCCTGCCTGCACGCCCAACAGAGCCAGGGCGAGCGCCACGCTCTCGCGGTGTTCCGCGATGCCGCCGATGGCGCTGAAGCTCCTCCACTCGCCCTCGACGCCCGCGTCCAGCAGCACGACCGCCACGATGATGATCGTGCGCACGAGCGAGCCGTAGAACTCGGCGAGGTTCCGCGATTCGCCAACGGCGTCGCGGAATCCCCGGAGCCAGCCGGCGGGCAGGAAGTTCTCCCACCACGACAGGGACACGAGCAGCAGGCTCACCAGCAGCAGCGCCAGGTGGGCAATCATTCCCGCCTCCGTGGAGCCGCCGTTGGGCGCCGTCAATGCCACCTTGGCGACCGACAGCGCTAATGCGCCGAGACAGCAGCAGAGGGAGGCCAGGCTCAGGAGCTTGGACGTCCTGGGCGGCTTCCTGCCTCGCGTCCATCTTCCGACGAACTGCAGCGCGCTCGGCACCAGGGTGACACCATTGAGGAGGAGGATGCTGCTGAGAAGGTTCGCCGAATCCGCCGGGAGGATGACGATGGCCATGAGGGCTGAGCCGAGACCGATGAAGCCTTCCAGCAGGCAGTTCTGGGTGACGCCCAAACGAACGCAAGGACATTGAGAGACAACGAGAGATTGAGGATTGTTGGAATGGTGAAACACGCCAATTAAACGCAGAGCCTAGAGTGTCTTTTTTTAAAGGCCTTGTCGTTTTTGTACAAAACAGGTGACAACTGCACTGGCCAACGTTGGCGAGGCATGGGAAAATCAATCCCCACTGATGGACAAGGCCTAGCGTGGATTAACAACAACAAAACTCAATTCAACACGTAGGCTTTCGCGACCAATATCATCCATAAGATATTTTTTGGGTTAGATCGCGTAAATATATAAATGTGTGGTTAAACCCCCCACCACCCGACACTGACAACTAGTAAGGGTTGTCACGTAAACAGAACATGCCAATTCGTCACTAGTACAGCACACCATAGTGTTGGAGAGCCAAGCCACAAGATTAATCTGAGTACGACGTTACGCCAGTAATTACAACTAGCTTAATCAGAGTTTGTTAATGACGGATGTTTTGAGGTTGTTGTTGCTAATTGGGCTTGTGCACCACTGTCAACGCAGCTGCAGCATTGCCAACATAATTTATTTTTAAAATTGCGATACCCAGCAATGGATTGGCAAATGACTCTCCGTAAATTATGTTTATTGTTTCATTTTTGATAATGATATTGACGCGATGCTGCTGCGATTTAATGGTCAGCAGAGTGGACGTGCACTTACTCAGGCCGCCGGGTCTATCTCCCGGCGCGGCAACTGAAGCAAACGGGAGAGTTTGTGACCTCTCCTCGCTCTGTCCGCCCAGAGCCAATGGAGGCGGTGGGGGGGTCTAGCGTGATGAGTCCACTGGAAAAATCCTAATTTGTATTTATACTGGAGGAATTCGATGAGCTATAAAACTATTTTTCAAATATGTCCAGTCGAGGTGGGACAGAATGTTGCAACAACAAACAATACACGATGTCAGTGTGCAATTTACTTTTAAAAATATACAAATGAAAATAAACTTTTTAAGTTTTCGGTAAAGTCATGTAGGTAAAAAATAAAAATTAATAAAAGTAAAACAAAATAAAAAATAAAAATCACGACGTTTCGGAGGCAACACAAGCTTCCGTCTTCAGGTGGAACCGTCACAGCACGATAGCTGTGTGCAGGAGGCCGTTTCTTCCTGACCTGCTTTTGTGCTTTAACCATCTACATGGCAGAGGCTCGGTCTCATTAGCAGCAGTTGCACTTTGAACAACTCTGGCACCCCCCCCCCCCCCTCTCAGGCTCAGTCCTTTGTTATGTAGACTAACCGTAGTCTCAAGCCGCACCTTACCATAATAATAAAAAGTGGGCCATTCCTGGCCCATCCCCCCCCCTCAACCAGTATATATATACGGGGTAGTATCTCTTGTAATCTCTCATTTACTTGATACAGCTATCGTGCTGTGACGGTTCCACCTGAAGACGGAAGCTTGTGTTGCCTCCGAAACGTCGTGATTTTTATTTTGTTTTACTTTTATTATTTTTTTATTTTTTACCTACGTGACTTTACCGAAAACCTAAGAATATGAATACTTGCAATCAAGAATGCTTCAAATCTTGAATTAAACTTTTTAACTTTACCAGATGAAGCCCACTGAGCTATTCGCTTTTTTTCAGATGCGACCTGGCTATCAAATAATGATAGCTCAACGAAGTCGCTTATCACCATGTGGAAATTTATCGCAGCCAAATACTATAAATAATATAAATGCATGTGAATTATAAATGTGGAGTAATGCACCGGAGGTCCGGGACAAACAATCCATGCGACCAAGAAAAAAAAACAGGCAAACTCTTTGTCTCTCTCTGACCCTTACCAGAGCGATAATCTTCCAATTGGAGGCATCGGAGTTCTTGAAGGCGAGCCGGAGGCCGCAGCGGATGGAGCTGAAGATGTTGGGGATGACGAGAACGAAGGCAAGGACCCAGGAATAGAACTGGTTCTGGCCGAGTTCGCCGGCCTGTCTGGCGACCTTCTTCATCTCGGCCAAGTACACAAGGCTCAGCTGCGTTCCACCACATTGCACACGCCAGATGGAGGGAAGCGTCACGACACTATGTGTATCCTATCAATAGAGGGAATCCCCATTGAATGTGTGGCGTTCACACTCCGCATTTTCAACTTAAACGCGGATTTTTCGTTTACATAACGTTTTTCGCTTTAGCGTGCACGGTGCCCCCACTATAACGCGAGTCTAGCATGTGATAAACTACTCGCTATAACGCAAGTATGGTGCGCACTGCGCCCGCTATAACGTGAATCTAGCATGTGACACACTGCGAGCTATAAATGTATCGTTACCCCTCTTCAGATTCCTGACGACTGCCTGATGATGCTGGCTGTGACTCCCAGCGAGACATTCGTACCCAGTTGGTAAACGCGTTTGGATTGCCCTCCAACAACAACGACAACACTGGTGGTGCTCAATGTCAATCAATAGATTAACGCTCCTGCTACTGCCGAAGCGGTAATACACATTGATTGGCTGCACGTTTGTTTAGTGATAACTTCATTAATTGGCTGTCAGGTGAAGGAGGGTGCGCGACACAACTTTTACTCACGCGATTTGACCCAAAACGAAATTATTAATCACAATGTGGATGCCATCATTGTCATCAGCAGCCATGGTAAATCCACTGTTGGATTAAGGCCTCCCATTATCTTCTCGACTACGAGTGAACGGCATTGATCAGTGGAGCGAGTTGACAGTCTCAGCTAGCTTCGAAGCTCAATTCGGAGCGAGAGAACTCGGCTCAGATGCATTGACATTGAGGGGCGCGTGTCTGGACTAACTAACTACTCAAATAAACCATTTTATTTTACCAGGTAGGGCCCACTGAGCTATGTAGCTCTTTATTAGAAGCCACTTGGCTACAAATGACAGCTCAACGCGTTGAGAGTATTTGGCTGCTTTACATGTCCACGTGATGGTGATGATGAGTCACGAAGTCGAGAGTATTTGGCTACTTTACATGTCCATGTGATGGTGATGAAGAGTCACTAAGTTACGAGTATTTGGCTACTTTACATGTCCACGTAATGGTGGTGATGATGAGTCACTAAGTCGAGAGTATTTGGCTGCTTTACATGTCCGCGTGATGGTGGTGATGATGAGTCACTAAGTCGAGAGTATTTGGCTGCTTTACATGTCCGCGTGATGGTGGTGATGATGAGTCACTAAGTCGAGAGTATTTGGCTACTTTACATGTCCACGTGATGGTGGTGATTATGAGTCACTAAGTTGAGAGTATTTGGCTGCTTTACATGTCCATGTGATGGTGATGATGAGTCACTAAGTCGAGAGTATTTGGCTGCTTTACATGTCCGCGTGATGATGGTGATGATGAGTCACTAAGTCGAGAGTATTTGGCTGCGTTACATGTCCGCGTGATGATGGTGATGAGTCACTAAGTCGAGAGTATTTGGCTGCTTTACATGTCCACGTGATGATGGTGATGATGAGTCACTAAGTTGAGCCGTCATTGTGGCCAGGTCGCTTCTGAAAGAAAGATAACTCAGTGGGATTTACCTGGTAAAATACAAATACAAAAACAGTTTAGTTTTTTTTATACATCTAGGGCATGTGTGTATGTTAGACTTATTTTGTACTGTACGTAGCAAACCATGTTAATCGGAGGTGTAAAAAACGAATCGGGTGATGGTGCAGCTGTGAGGTGAGGCTGAGGAGAGAGGTGGGGGGTGCCTCCTCCTCCTTTCTCCTCACCTTGCTGAGCACCGCCGTCCCGAACACGGCAAGGAAGAGCAGCGTCAGGGGGATCAACCTGAAGACCCGAAGACCCCGAGTCGAGGATTCCTCCTCATCGATATCTGGGCGAATGTTGAACCTGTCCCAGGATCTACGGTGGACACAGACATTCGGTCGAGTCACAGTGTATTTTGTGTTGTGACATTGCTCTCTGCTGCTGCTTTAGCTGCAGCAATGCATTGGAACTGTTGTTCACATAACCTATTCACTGGTTGTGTTGGGTGGAGGCCTTACGACACGACATTTTACACATGCGATCTGACCCGAAAATGTATTACGAATGACGATGAGGTCGCAAACGTCTACACGTGCTAGATTCAGTCGAGTAACTTCAGAGCTTTTATCGACGATGTTCGTTGCCAAGAGGAAGAAGACGTTGACGAAGCAAATGGAGAGGAGGAAAAAAAACAACCTCTGATTATTGCGCAAAGAAGATTGGATTGGTGGACGCTGGGCATTGCACTAAGAGGCATGGAGAGGAAGACCATGCGTGACCATTCTGGTCAACGTGGGCTGGGGAAGATGTCACTTTGTGACCGATGCTCGCCCATACCGAGATCGAAGTTGACGTCTTCCGTCGCCGAGCCCAGAGTGATGGGAACCTCCGCGACATCGATCTCAGACAAGTGACTCAAGCAGCTTGAGCGACGGATTCTGGTGCATTGCGTCACTTTGCCAGAAACCAGTTGGCTATCAATGCTCAACATACGAGGGTCGGTTTTACCACGTGATTATGTTTACGTACACAGTTTAGTTTGTTGCCTACTATCGAATCACGCTGATCTTGAAAGCTAAGCAAAGACAAACCTGTCTGCTGCTGCTGAGGTCACCAGGTTCTCAGGACAGGAATAACACGAATGCAGACGTTTTCTCATTGAAAATATGTACATTTCAAAATAGCAGTCCTGGTCACAAACGCAAAGTTTGTGGGAAATAATAGCCATTTTCGGTACAGTTTAGGCATAAACAATTAGGAAATAACACTTAGTATCTAGGAACAAAAAACATAAATTTGTTACACAGTGTTATTATTAATGTAGTGGATTATTAATTTATCTTTTGTGTCCTGATCACAAAGCAAAGTTTGTGGGGAATAATAGCCATTTTTTGTACCTTTGAGGCATAAACAATTGGAAAATAACACTTAGTACCCAGGGACAAAAAAAATCATTTTTTTGTTACACAGTGTTATCTGTGCCGGTCCTAGGCCTTCCCTAGGGCGACTCAACCTCAAATTAGTACATTTTTGTAAGCATCGCCACTAGAGAGACAAAGGCGACCGAGCGTGGCGCTGACCACCCACCCCCTCGTGTGCCGTTCCGGCCTTCATAGGTGCTCGCTAACAGCACTTGCCCCAACCGTTTGTTACAGATATGCAGAGGATATTTTACGTCTTCGTGGTGGTTATGGTGGTAGTTTTGTTTGTAGTGTTGTTGGCAGTGGTGTTGTTGGTGGTGGTTATGGTGCTGGTTGTGGTGGTGGTGGTATTAGTAGGTGGTGAAACGCGAACTTACTTCTCGCATTGGGATTGGGGCTCCACTTCTGATTGTGCATTCCTCAGCACGTCCCTGCTGCGTTCATTCCCACACGGGTACTCGCATTTCCATTCAACAGCTCCCGCCTCTCCTTTCTCTAGCGACGTTGAGAACCTGGACGTTGCTTGAGGCGTCGTCATCGCGCCGTCTACGCGTTTGGAAGCTCAGATGTCGGCGTTGTCAGAGATTCTCCCTCTAGCGTCTCCCTTCAATAAACATTAAACCCTACTTGTCCGCGATGAGCTGTGGCGTGGTTAACAGACTTAGCTCATCTATTCAGCTAAACTCAGAGTCGTTGAGGCAATCTGACTGATAGTTTTGTCTTTGAGATGCGATCGCGTTCATATGATATACTGTTACAACGTGTATTATAATTGTAACACGAACTAGTGTTATTAATGATTATAAAAGTAGCAAGATTAGACTCCAATGGTGAAGAAAGAAAACATCTAACACTGAAAACAATGCAGATATTTTAACTGTCTACAGACTTCTACAGAGGCATCAGCACTGAGCCCTCTAGGGAGCGGGGTACTAGTCTCAGCGTGGTAGCACCACTGATTATATATATCGAGAGGAAGAGATTAACCCGCATTCAGTTTGACACCCTAATTTGCAAGGGATCAAAGACAAAGCTGAGGGAGTGAAATATCTGCTGAGCCACGTGGCATAAATTTACAACGAGGAAGCTGAAATTCTCTGTGGCTTAATATTCACAGTCGCAATGTCGTGAGTTGATATTCAAAGCAGCGTGAGGCCTTCATCATCAGTGTCATCATTGTTTATCGTAAAAACCATCAAACACGTCATCGTCATTGACATTGAGTCATTAATCATCAACAACAGCGCCATCGCCATTATTAATTTCATTTACCATTACCATCATCATAATTCATTATGATCATCACCACCATCATCACTCTCATCATCATAATCATGATTAACATCAGCATCAATTAAAATCACCCACCAGGATCATTGCCACCGATTGATTGTATCCGTGAATAACAAAAAATATATCTCAACCATTCTCTATCTACCAATAGATGAAGGAATGCCGACGTCACGTTGGTCGTGGAAGATATTTCGACCATATTACTGGTAGAAACCTCCTGGTTACACCAGCCCACAGGGGTTTATTGTGTCCGTCCGTCCGTCGTGCAGCGATGGGCTGGGTGGGGAGAGGAGGGTGGGGTGGGGAGGGGAGGGTGGGGAAGGGCTGGGTGGGGAGGGGCTGGGTGGGGAGGGTGGGGACGGGCTGGGTGGGGAGGGTGGGGAGGGGTGGCAGGGGTGGGGCTGGGTGGGGAGGGGCTGGTCACCCCGTGGTGCCCTTATAAAACTTAACGTTTAACCTACTCACGCCGGCTTGTGTCCGCCCTCACAGTCGGGAATATTTTCGGAATACACCACGCCGTCGTTGACCCTGGCCATTGACCGAGCAACCCAACGTTCCTACCAGCTCCCTCCGCAGCAATGTGTTTAACCACCACGCTGGGTCAATGTTCCAGACGAGAAGGGTGGAGGGGTGGGGAGCGGTGGTGCAGTGGTTAGCGCATTGCGCTACAAACTTGGTCACCTGAGTTCGACTCCCGCTCACGGCCAGCACCAGTGACGACTAACAGAACCGGTTCTGGGAATCCCCTAGGTCGACTCAGCCTCAAATGAGTACCTGGTGCAGTGTGTTGTAAACATCGCCACGAGAGATACCAATGCGGCCGGGCTTTGTGCTGGCTATCCACCCCCTCGTGTGCCGTGCCAGCCTTCATAGGTGCTATTTGCTAACATCACTTACCTCAACAGGTCTTTTTGGGCTACACGGGGGTTCTTTATATTTATATGGGTGGGAGGACGGGCGGAGGAGGGGTGGGAGCATCAGTTCTGAATCCTCTTGCCGCTTGACGTTCGCCGTGGTCGGGAATCGAATGCGTGGGGTCGGGGTTCGAAATAGAATAAAAAGTTTGTAAGCCGAATCAATAACACAATGAGCGCTACAGCTCCTTACCAAGGATGACTCGGCCAGAAGACAAACACGTAGCAAGTATTATAAATCAATAAGTAAACAAGGTAATGATAACAATATGATCTGCCAAACAATTATGTGCATTAACTCCTGTATCGTTGCTCAGTGCGCAATGCACTTGAGCATCGCTCCCCTGCGTGCGACCCGTCGACGGATGATTGCCACCTGCAGAGGAGGTAGTGCCCACTTGATGAGAAGACTGATCCCTGCCATAGGAATGTGGAATTTCTACCAGTGGTCCAGCATGTATGTTGAACTTCTGTCGCACCGTACGTAGCAAAGCGTGATCATCGGAGGTGCGGGGGAAGGGTGAACAAACAATACACAAAATGACGTTCTAAAGAAGTCAGCTTTAATCTAGATGATTTAAAAGTGCATTGCTCCAGTGGCTTCCTCATACCGGAAGGAAAACCATGCAGCCAGTGGGGATGGGAAAAGTTTGATTGAGTGTTTGTTATGATGGGCCTCTTGTAATCGCAGTTATATATTATACATGTAAACGTACTTACTTATTAAAGGAACCCACAAGGTATACTCGAGCGATGCTGCTGGAGTGTGAAGTACCGGTGAGGACGCTTGACGCCGAGGTTGAGGCACACGTATGTTTATTCACAATATGACAGTGGGCATATACACACTCGGGGGGGTATCGGCGCCCTCACCCGTATAACTCGGGATACACCCCTAGCTAACTCTGTCCTAGCCCCGAATCCTCCACTAATGGGCTAGGGGAGGCTAACTGGCCCGACACTGGTAAGTCGGGCCCGGTACCCGGAGTTCCAGACCAGCTCTTACAAGAGCACCGGCTCTGGCTTTCGGGACCACGCCGCTGGCTCAATCCTGTCCGGCCCTGAAAAGGACATCGAACCAGGGGAGTCCAGGGCTCTATCTAAGACGTCTTCAATCTTCTTCCCTTAGCTTAAACATAACTGCCTTGAGCACTTTGAACATCCCCTTTTATACCCAACCCCTCCCTGAGGGGTGGGGCCCCGGGGGATCATAACGTTCGAACCAGCCCCCCCCAGGGTGTCTGGCTCGGACGTCGTAGAGGGCACCTCCTCGTGCACTTACGTAGCCCTGCCCACTGTGTTTGTTTTCCATAGGCTGCCATGCATAACGGGCCCTCTCTTTAACACCCCTACATCACCCCCCCCCCCCCCCCCCCCCGCATAGCTTGCAGCCGTCCCGGCTGCCAACATACAAAAATGACAATAAAAGTGCATTTACACCTTGACCGCGCGTGTGACTCACTAATTTTCAACAATAACAAGAACAGCAACAAGAACACAACAAAATGCAACAGAAAGAAGAGAAAACAACCCGACGCACCCCCCCTTGAATAAATACGAATTCCGTAAAAAAAACAACCTATATACAATTTGCAGGGAACCCACCATACACACAACACCAGGTGAACCCAACGTATGTACATTTCAATGGGCAGGGAACACACCACCCACACAACACACAATGAACACAACGTATGTACATTTCAATGGGCAGGGAACACACCACCCACACAACACACGATGAACACAACCTATGTACACATCTTCCGGCCTCATAACAGTCTGCGCATTTTTGCGCGCGTCCTTGCAGCGGGCCCCTCACACGGGGTAACCCCGGGTGGCGGACCGTCAGGTGGCAATTGTCCGTCCCGGAGTGAGACCTCATCCGATGCCGCGCGACCGTCGGTATCCCCAGGAGGGGTGGTCGGGCGTGAGCCCGTCAGTCCTGATGCACCTGGAGGTGGCACGGCCGGCAAGGCATTAGGTGAGAACGACGGAGACGGACCCAGTGAGTCGGTCGACCCCCCACACGTTTGGCCACGCATGTGTGAAGTGGGTTTGTGTACCGCAACGAAGGGTTTTAACCTAGAGGGGTGCACGAACCATCGCCGCTTCCCCCATTTAATGCGCACGCACTGTGGTCGCAAAACTTCGACCACCTCCACAGGGCCCCGCCACGGCCGCGCCAGCTTAGGGGAGGTAGCCAGGGGCACTTGGGGACAGTGCAACCATGCCTTGTCCCCCGGCTTCCACTGTATTACGTGCGCCCGACCCAGCCTGAGGCGCTCATTCGCCTTTTGACGGAGGTCCGAGTTTAGCATAGCAGCATCCCGCGCCTCTGTTAATTTGGCCAGATTAAATTTGACGTGGTCAGCCAATTTAGTTTTCCCTTGCGGGTCGGGGATCTGCAGCTGGGCGCGAACAGGCGGGTCGGGTTCGCGACCGTACATGAGGTAAAAGGGAGAAAATCCCGTAGCTGCATGGGGTGCCATCCGGTATGCCGCCAAGACCCCTTGAATATGCAGGTCCCAGTCAGTCTGCGAGTCCGAGACCTGTTGTGACATCATTGACGTAATGGTGCGATGCAGGCGCTCGACCATTCCGTCAGTTTGCGGGTGATACAGGGAGGTACGAATTTTCTTCGTGCCTAAGAGGTCACAGACTTGTTTGAGTAATTTACCGGAAAATTTTCTGCCCTGGTCGGTCAGCAGCCGCTCCGGAGCACCTTTGTCCAGGACGTATCTCTGAACAAAGGCCTCCACGATGGCTGCTGCCGACTGGTTGGCAAGGGGCCAGGCCATAGGCCAGCGCGTAAAATACTCGACACCTGTCAACAAATACCTATTGCCCCTGGGGGTGGCGGGAAATGGGCCCAAAATGTCCAGCGCGACAAGCTCATTTATTCTGGATACTTTGATCGATTGCAAGGGCGGGTTAGACTCCCGCGCCGGCGGTTTCCGTTGCGCACACCGAGGGCATGATCCCAATAGATCCCCAACATCCCTCGTCATACCAGGCCAAAAAAAATCAAGTTGTAGCAGTGCAAGAGTCTTTTGGGTCCCCAGGTGTAATAGGCGCTCATGCGCGGCCCACACCACCTTGCCTCGCAACTCAGAAGGGACCACCAGCCGATGTAGCTGGGATTTGCCGTCCCAATGCATCAGCAGACCTTGCACCATTTCCCATGCATCCGAATCACCCTTCACCCGCCCAGCACCCCCGACGCGACGACGCCACCCGAGGAGGGAGGTATCCTCCATTTGGAGGCGCCCCCATTCAGTGACGGGCAACCCCAACAGGGAATCTCTTCCCTGTTGTTCGATCGAATTAG